GCCTTGAGCAGCACTTTTACAATAAACACTGTATAGAAAATATTCTTTTTATCTTTTTTAACAACAGAGGGGGAAAAGCTTTTTTTAATGGGCTACCAACCAAATCCCACCATTCGCCTACCATCACCTCCCAGATAAAAATGAACTGTACCTAATGATTGTTTTTTTWAAAAATATTTTTGTTACTAGTGGAAGAGCACCCTCAAGGCTTACATTGCCTCCCATCACCTCCCCGATAAAAATGAACTGTCCCTAATGATTGTTATTTTAATATTTTTTTGTTACTAGTGGAAGAGCACCCTCAAGGCTTACGTTGCCTCCCATCACCTCCCCGATAAAAATGAACTGTCCCTAATGATTGTTATTTTAATATTTTTTCGTTACTAGTGGAAGAGCACCCTCAAGGCTTACATTGGATCTGTTACACAGTAAGGGTTTAGCCCATCCAAACACAATACCTCGATACTCCAGTCATGCCGTCACTGTACCTGGTGCTGCTGCATGTTGGGTTGATACTATTGAAACATTTGGAAGCAAAAAGGTTTGCATGTCCATTTAAATCTTGTAATTTTTGTTTTTCCTCTAACCACCATTGGTCTTTAGTCATGGAACACATGCATTTGTATAGAGGCTTTGCACCATCACGTGGTGATAGCCATGATACAGTAGGATCCARGAACAATTGAATTTGKTCTAATCTGATTTAAATRAGAAAWAATTTATTTTCCCAGTGGAGAACAACTCTATTATGGTGCCTCCTCTCATGGCTGCTGTCACATGATGGTGCAACTTGAAAGTGCATGATATTTGTTTATAATATCTAACATTTAAAGGAGCACTTGGATAAAAATCGATGAAAATTTAAACTTGTTTAAACTTATTGATATGGCACAGATAGTAGCCAAGCAACATATTTTCTTCACAGTCAAAAGTGGATAAAAATTGTCAATTTTATTCAACATCTAAATTGTGAGTAAATGACGTCATTTACTCAACCCTATTGTCTTTCTGGTTTTGAACCAAAATTTCTCAATAGCAAGTGGCTCCCAGGCTAAAATTTTCGNTGGTGATGGTGATGGTGATGGTGATGGAGACAAGATAAGTTTGACAGCATTGCTAAGTGGTCATGTATTTATTTACTCATAAATCTATCTATTACCTATCTCTCTATCTCTTAAATTTTATTTTACAGTTAAGTTTAATGGAAATTCTTCGGCCAGCAATCAGYTTAGCCAAAAATGGTTTTTCAGTTCATCATACTGCAGCTGCAATGTGGAAAGCTAATTCAGAATGTCTCATGAGCCCAGCAAACAAACATGGGCATGTAATGCTCCTTGATGGCAGGTCACCAGAAGAAGGAGATGTGATGAAAATGCCGCAGTTGGCTCAAACGTTTAAGGTATGGATGCTTTGCACCATCGTTTACAGTGCGGACGCTCCAACCATGAACACTTCAAGGTTATTTTGACATTCTTTCCTTAACYATCCAATCACAGCTCTGTGTAGGAACAAAGGAATTAAGTGATTTTTAGGCGTCATTGAAACACAACAAACGGCAGAAAATCTTTAGATGTTTTATTTTTAGCTCACTCCGTGTGAACTTTATGAACTCCTAGATCACGTATTAAAACGTGATATTATGCAAAACAGTGGCACAAAGTTCAAACTTTCAATAATTTACAGAAATGAAATGAATATTGTTCATTGATGAAGTAGCTGTCATGTAATGAAACTTTAACCACAACAACACAAGAGACTCTGAAATCGCACAAAAAAATGTTGGAACCTCGATAGGAATCTGGCTTCTGATTGGATGATTAAAAGAATGTTAAAAAAACCTTGGTGTTCGTGGTTTGAGTATCTGCACTGCTRTGGCAACCATGACAGGAGGCACAACAGTAGTCCTTTCTCCCTGGGAAACTGCATTCTTTCTTGCGAATCAGATGTGGTCTGAAATGGAAAACATTATGCCCAAGCYGAAAAGGTCTATTCACCWWAATGACACAAAAYGAAAATTGTCAGTATAATACCTTGTCTAAGACCAACATCCCTGGTATAATAATGATAATAATAATAATAATAGTAATAATAATGATAATTATACAGCTTCTCATTAATCCCATATCGGTAACTGTCCAATTATTTTCTTAATTGGACAGGTCTTGTTGATATGGGATTAATTAGGCAGCTATATRATTAATAGGTAATGGGATTTCATGCTCCCCAATCAAGAAATAATTAGACTCGAAAAATACCTCTGACTGCCAAATTATAATTGGCCTATGGCCTTGTCCAATTTTGTCAGTCCTCGGAATTTTCCTCGTCCAATTATTTCTTAATTGGACAGCATGGAGTCCTATTACATATACTAATGGGAGGTTCTTATATAGCACTTTTATACAATGCTTTACATTTATGACCGGTGGAGGACTTTACAGGCGGCATATTACTACGGCTGTATAGGCTATATATATGATATATGGGAGTTATCCCCCCCCCCCCCCCCCCCCACAAAAACCACTGAGAGAAAGAACCCTTATAGCAAGTTATAGAACAATGCAATAAACAAACTCAAATCGCTTATGACTTTGGTCAAGCACTGATACAGCTGAATTAACTAAGATCAATCAATTAAATAGAGTTTTATCAGACAAGAGCGGCCAATGTAAACAACTATTGTTGGCTGGCGATAGAAGAATCGCCTTTGTGGCTTCACAACTATGTCCAATATGGGATATATTGTATCCCAACTAGGCGCCAATATTTAACAATTATTTGCCGAAGGCTCAGTGAATATCGGGGAATATTTACCGAGACGCGAGTCTTCGAGCGGCGAGGTAAATATTCCCCGATAATCACTGAGCCTGAGGCAAGTAATTGTTTTAGTATAAATACCCAGGTGATTCTTTCAAAAAAAGAAAGGAAAAAAAAAAAATGATAAAAGGCATTTTTTTCCGGTAACAGCAACAAAGCGGCTGGCCGCCATTTTGGATTTTCGTTCGAGGTGATTATCGTGTGATAGTGTGAGTTTCTTGACCAATCAGCGCGTGAGATTTTCTATAATCACCTGCGTATTTTTACTAAAGACCCATACTGTCGACTCGTCAAAACCGCAATAACTAATAATTATTTGACCTCAGGAACTAGCAACCAATGGCAAAGATGGTTTTTACAAAGGACGCATAGCAAACGCTATTGTCAATGTTGTAAAGGAACATGGAGGAGTTATGGAATTAGATGATCTTGGTTGTCATCATTCCACATATGACCAACCAATTTGCACTAACTATAGGGGAATAAATATCTGGGAAACGCCGCCAAATGGACAAGGAATCACAGCTTTAATGGCGTTGAATATACTTGAAGGATATGACTTAAAAGGTAAAATAATGCTAGATTATTAATTTTTTGTGTGAAATACAGACACTATTGTAAAACCTCTTTAAGACGACCAMCTATTTAGTAACCGGAAACCTCTATTTAGCTACAAGAGGTCACTAATGAATAAATTATTAGAGAATTGGATGCATAGAAAAAAATTCTTGGGAATCAACCATATGACKCAAACTCCTTCGAGATATGAATAACAATGAAACAGCTGGTATGTTGGTTGATCTATCGTCAGCTAACATGGCGGCTATGACGTAACATGCACCCCAAGAGTTTGTATAAAAGGATATAAATGCAAAGTCGTTTTTTTTGTTGATATTATCATCATTATCCTTTATGCCCGTGTGGCACGTAGGTTAGTTTCCATACCWATAATTGCAGATTGCCACAACCCTGTTAGCCAGGACAGAGCAGAAAAACGACARGGCTGCTACTTCCGCATTTTTTTCTTTATCTCTCATTCATGCTAAAAAACGTTTAGTGTTTCATTCGTGTCTCTTGTGCTTTAAACTTTTCACAAAATTCTGCTAACCTTGAGCAATTCTACTTCGAGGTATTAGCAAAAATGTTAGTTTTTGTGCTGATCAAAATATCATCTCTCCCAACGTTCAGGGATACGCATTCCTTAAATTTCCCCAAATTTTGATATTTTGTTAATCAGCCCTAAAAGAGCCTGTTTATGAAATATAAAGCTTATTAACGCATAAACGTCGAAAGTGGAACCCTGTTGGCCAGTCGTTAGCCAGCATTACCCGTTATTATCTCCCACGACGAGGACGTAGGGATGGACTTTAGGAGGTTTTTTTTGATTTTTTTTCTTAATCTAAAAACATTTAGACATTTTTCTCTCTTTCTCCCCGCAGGTATGGGTCACAATTCTGTAGAATATCTTCACACGKTAACAGAAGCACTAAGTCTGAGTTTCGCGGACTCCCTGTGGTACACAGCAGACCCCAGTAAAGTACACGTTCCAATCAAAGAAATGCTATCTAAAGATTATGCAGCGAAAAGAAGAAAAATGATCAAGAAAGACAGGTAATGAATCAAGGGTGTTGTAGCGGTGGTGTAGTGGTGGTGTAGCGGCGGCGTAGCGGCGGCGTAGCGGTGGCGTAGCGGTAGGGTACTCACCTCTAGGGATAGGGTTCTGTTCCTTTGASTCAGCATCAGACTGACTGAGCATAATTTTTCGGTGTCTCTCTTGATTCAAGTTTTTCTCTGTGTTCTCCGATTTTCCCCTTACGCAAAATCCTACACGCTAAGTTATAATTCAATTTTCCTGACTTAGATCAGTATAAAGATTGTTTCAGGTATAAGTTAGCCGTGCCCTGACTTAATTCAACCCGCTATTTGTCGTTCTCAAAACACTTCTCCCGTGTTCTGCTAATCCCCGCGTGCTTTATATTGAAGCTAGAAATAGTGCAGTTGTCGTATGACTGTGAAAAGCTCAGTGCCGTAAGCGCGACGTGCCGTGACCGTGATACTTTCTAGAATTTTAATTGGCTATTTTTTTTCACGCGCAATATGATTGGTCTAAAAGTGCCGTGATCTTGACGTGACCGTGTCTGCGCCGTGTTTATGCTGTGTTCCGGGTATTTGATTGGATGGAGAGTAAATTCTCGTGCAATGTGATTTGTCTGGCGTATCCCTTGCTGTGTCACGACCGTGTTCGTGCCGTGAGCTTTTCACAGTCATACGAAAACTGCAATAGAAAACGCGCACGTGCTGTGTACGCATGGATTGGCAGAACACAAGAGAAGTGTTAGGAGAAGCACGACATGTAGCGGAGTGCTTCTCRATACTTCTAAAGTATTCTGYCAATCTCCAAGTGCACRCAGCACAGCAACCAAGTTTTTAAATTTTTTTATAAAATACTAAACACAAAAACCGTTATTWTTTTAAGGAATGACGTAACTAAAAGTGCGCGCGCGTGCTATGTGCTTTCGTAAAGCATGCGCTTCCAATCAGAACGCGAGAATTAAAAAAACCTATTTTATATAATTCTTCACCGTTTTCTTTTTTTATCGTTATTTTTTTCAGGTGTCTAGATGAATACCATCGTGGAACACCATTCTCTAGCTCTGATACCGTATACTTTACTGTTGTTGATGAACAAGGCAATGCTTGTTCATTCATTAATAGTAATTATCAAAAGTTCGGTACCGGTCTTGTACCTGAAGGTTGTGGCTTTACTTTACACGTAAGTAAAGGTTGCTGTATATTCTCAGTAATAACCCATTTACGAATTAATAAAATACAGCTGTGTTCCTAGCCTCCTTTGAGGAAAACGTTGCGTGACGACCCTAAGAACGGCTGCAAAGGAGGCTACTGTGTTCCTTGATCACAGACTCATTTACTCAGGCTTAGCTTCATATCAGCGTCAGAATATTCACAAATACCAACGGTAAAGTAAAGAATGCACAAATTCAACAATACAAGCACTTTGAAATTCCACGGACCTTCAATTTAACACATGAATATTGTACACAAAATCGAGGCTAACCCTGAGCAGCAGAGAATTCGAAACTGGAGTATTGTGTACATCCAATAAAGTCATTATATGATTTTATAAAATAACTGTTATGAACTCGCGTTCTGATTCGTTGGGAGCATACAGCACGCGCGCGCACTCTTAGTGGCGTCATCATTCCTATCTAAAATAACGGTTATTGTAATTTGTATATTTTATAAAGTAATAAAAACGTTGCTTGCTGTGCTGTGCTTTGTGGAGTCATAAAGCACTTGGGGATTGGCAGAACACTCGAGAAGTGTCCAGAAGCACTCCGCTACGCGTCGATGTCCTCCTAACACTTCTCTCGTGTTCTGCCAACCCCCGCGTGCTTTATAACTACACACAGCACGCGCGCGCATTTTCTATTTCTTCAATATTACACCGGTGTTTTGAATTTCTTGAACAATTGCCTATATATTCTATTTCATATTAAGTTATCTTATTATATTCTTTATTAATTATGATATTTTCAATGACGTGGGGGATGCTTTCTTGAAGACATTTTATTAGCCATTCCAAGGTTGAGGAAACGACTGGGTCGAGTTGGCATCGAAGTGCAATGTGGGACCTTTAGGGAGAGAATTAGACGCCATCTTGGAAATATGATTTTTTTCCCTCGATCTCAGAATTTCTAATATACTATATCGTCTTTCACATTCTTCAGAACCGAGGATGCAGTTTTTCTCTCGATCCGTCTCATCCAAACGTAGTAGCTCCCGGCAAAAGACCCTACCATACGATAATACCGGGGATGGCTACATATGCCAATACCGGGGAACTGTATGCTAGTTTTGGAGTGATGGGCGGCTTCATGCAACCTCAAGGACACGTTCAGGTAAGATCAGGAACTTTTAAGCTGCTTATTGAAATAGTCTGGGTGACGAGACAATAAACCTCTTTACATTGGGTGTAATGTTTTCCCATTTCAGACCACGTGTCATTCTCTTGAG